CAAGTCCAACACACAATGGACCGCCACTACCAGCTCGATGGGGGTTTATACCCATCAACCGAAGGATCAGCTACCGTCAGAAGGAGTATCCTGAGGTTCTACCATGTGTCAACCGAAGGGATCGGCTACCGTCAGAAGGAGTATCCTGGAGGTGCACAACACAAATTTTTCTAGAGGATCAACCGCCGCAAGACGAAGCATCCGAAGGGTAACCGGGCAAGAGGGTCAACTCCTTTACCCTCCAGTCGATCTCCTTGGCACAACAGGCCAACAGTCGACTAGTCGGGTAAAGGGGGGGTAGCTGTAGACCCCTAATCTTGCCCGACCTCAAAATAAGAGCAGTAAGACCTCCTATTCGAAGATGGACAAAGCCTAAAAAGCCACTAGGAGAGACTATTAGGCCTCATATTAGAGTAGGAAGGTTTTTCTCGTACAAAAAATAAAAAATAAAAAAAATAAAAAAATAATAAAAAAATAAAAATAAAAAAATTATGGCGAGAAGGCCTTCCCAAATGGCGAGAAGGCCTTCCCAAATGGTGGGGGCAAGAAGGCCTTCCCAAATGGCGAGAAGGCCTTCCCGACCTAGCACTTTTTTCCTATAAATAGGAGCCTCATTCCACCCATTTTCACACACACCATTCACTCCTACCACTCTCTACGAAGCCTTTTGGCACTTTAGAGTGACTCTGAGTATTTTTCTAGAGTTCGAGTGAGCCTTTCGATTTCCATTAAGGTAGAAATCGGTTAAGGATGTCCTCTTTTTTTGAGACATCCGGCCCTCGGTAGGGTGACACCTTTATTTTTTAATCGAGAGAGGAGTGCCTCTCGTAGAGTGCGGACCGCCAAAAGCGTCCTCAAGTTCAACATTTATAAAAGCTCGCTTCGGAGGTTCTCCTTCATATCTTTTCTCTTTTATCGCTTTCTTTTACTCGTTTTCCTTATATGCATTAGATATTAGGATCATGTAGATAACTATTTAAATTCCGTAATAAATAAATAGGGTAGAAGCATAATTTTATCGTCTTTATTTTAAGAATAGTCCATCATAGGGAACCCGAAAGGGGCGTTGTGGGGCTGCTAATACCTTCCCCACACGTAACTAACTCCCTTACCCGACTCTGGTTATAATGGCCAAAATTGGTTTTTCGAAAACCATTGCCTTCTTTTTTCCTTTTCCGATGTTTCCGGTAAAAACATCGGTGGCAACTCCATAAGAACCCTTCAAAGTTAGTTCTTGGGTTAGCCCGGTTATCGGACAATCCAAGAACACTTTTTCGAAAACCTCGCCCCTAGGTTCAGCCCGGTTATCGGACAACCTAAAGGCGTTGTAACCACACCCATAAAAACGCGAAAATTGGAAAGTCGGAACCATCGCGTCGCTCCGACCGCCTCTTTTTTACGGCGGCGACACCTCTGATCAAATCCAAAGTGTTGGAACTTCCTCTACTCATCATGAAACCCGTCAATCCATGGAAGACATGTTATTTGACATGAATCAGAGAATGCAATCATTCTTCACTCTTTCTGGAGTACGGCATGAGGAAATAATTCGTCGTATATCTGATGTAGATGATAAAGTGTGTCGTTTAGAAAATAGATTTGATGCACACTTTCATAGTGATGATAGTGAAGAATTTTAAAATTTGTAATTTTTCTCTTATATTGTAATGAGTGCTTTTATATGAAATAAAATGAGGTGTTCTATTTTTGATATGATTGAGGGGGAGTTTTCTCTAACTTATGCATATTTTGAGGGGGAGCTCTTATGTTTGTAATAGATGAATTATTTTTTATTCTAATCAAAATAGGGGGAGAAAATATTTAAAGCCTAAAATGATTGTTTTTAAATATTATTTGGTATGTTTAATGTGTTTGTTATTATGACAGATAAAATAAGTTATTACAAGGCTTTAAAAGATAATTTTGATCATCATAAAAAAGGGGGAGATTGTTGAACATTCAAGGACTTGATGTTGCACTTAATGAACATGAAGATTGTTGATTTTGATGATGATTCAAGAACTCAAAGACTTAGAGTGTTGAAGACTTGTTTTGTATTGTAATAACTCTGTTTCAATTAGATTGAGTCTATAATATTAGAGTTTAAGATAGCCGGTACATAGTCTGCACCTTAGAAGCTTCAAAAAGCTCAAATTTATCATCCAGACTCGGCTTTAATCAATTAAATAGGGAAATAATCGATTAAAACAGATGAGAAAAACCATTTTCTCAGATTCGCTCACTCGGTTTAATCGATTAAACCACCTATTAATCGATTAACAGCGATTTAATCGATTAACAACCCTTTTAATCGATTAAAACAGAGAGTTTCGTGGTTCTCGTTGATTTTGGCTTCGTAATAATCGATTAACTCTTGATTTAATCGATTATTTCAGTCAGATTTTGAATTTTAACTTTAAATCAACCCTATTTTCGAAAACCCTATTTCCAAGAACCCTAATTCCAAAATTCCCAATTCCCAAACCCTAATTTCTCTACTTAAGTTTCTCTATGGCACTCAGAAATGTAGAACAACCTTTTTCATACAAAAGTTAAGTGCTATGAGTGCCAGAGAACTGTTTGTTGCAAGAAAAAGGGGCTTTCGGAACCTGGTGTGGGCTAGAAGCGATAAGAATCACTAAGTGGAGTTCTAAGTGGATTGTGTGCTGTGCCGTCTCTAGGGAAAACTGTTCATCATCTCTTGTGGATTTCAAGAGAGGTGTTTTCTTATCTTTATCTTTTTCAATTGTAATCTGTTTGTAACAACTTGATTATAGTGACAAGCGTTAATCCTCTATTTGAGTGATTAGCAACCGGACGTAGGTCTTTTGATCCGAACCAAGTATAAATCTCCCGTATAAGATTCTCTTTTCTTATCTATTTATATTTACACAGCTTTTAATCGGTAAAATTTGAGGAAAATTTTGAAAACCTAATTTTGTTAAGAAACCAATTCACCCTTTCTTAGTTTTTGTCCGACCACGCGAACATTCTCACTGCAGCGATTCTAACACCTTATTCAATAAAATATAATATATTAACCATTGAATTTTAAAACTATATGATTATTCTAGATACTTAAAAAAATATAATAAAAATAAAGTAATAAATATTTTATTCTCCTCTTTAACAAATAGATTTTTCTTTTATTATATATATATATATATATATATATATATATATATATATATAATTACAACATGTAATAATGTAGTGAGATAAAAATATAATAAACTCTTATCTATATTCTATTAACTTTAAAAATATATAATAAATAAATAAATTGTAATTTATGGAATTAAAAAGTTAAAATATAGTAATTAAAATAAATAATTTGTACAAAATATCAAAATAAAAACAATTTTATATTATAACTTTTAGATCTAAAAACAATTATATATATATATATATATATATATATATATATATATATATATATATAATATATATATATATATATATATATATATATATATATATATATATATATATATATATATATATATATATATATATACACGTTAGATTATTAACGTCAATCATAATATAAAGTATAAAAAGAAAATCGTCAAACATCAGACATAAGAACAATATTGAATGTAATGTAAGCGGCGAAAATATAGAAGAAATATAGATTCCTTTATATTTCAATAATTCTATTATATATAAAGATAATCTTAAAAAATCTGAAATATGTTAATTAATAGTTAAAAAATAATCAATACAATATTTTATTGAAGATTATATTGAAGCTGTCTACTGTCTATCTATGATTTTAGTAAATCTTTTTAACAAAATATATTCACGTTTTTTTAATTTATGATAAAATTAATAAAATTTAATTAAATGTTATATATAATTAGTTGAAATTATAATAATTTTGGTCTTATCAAATAACTTTTCACTCCGAGGTAACAGGTTTGCACGTTTTTTTAATTTATGATAAAATTAATAACATTTAATTAAATGTTATATATAATTAGTTGAAATTATAATAATTTTGGTCTTATGAAAAAACTTTTCAGTACAGGTTTGCAAGTTTTTTTAATTTATGATAAAATTAATAACATTTAATTAAATGTTATATATAATTAGTTGAAATTATAATAATTTTGGTCTTATCAAATAACTTTTCACTCCGAGGTAGAAGTTTGCACGTTTTTTTAATTTATGATAAAATTAATAACATTTAATTAAATGTTATATATAATTAGTTGAAATTATAATAATTTTGGTCTTATCAAATAACTTTTCACTCCGAGGGTACAGGTTTGCATTTTCTAAAACAGTTAATTGTAATTATTTATTAGACTGCATAATAATAAAGAAAAAAAAAACTGAAAATTAAAACAGCTGAAAAGGGTGAGAGAACGAGGTCGAAACTGATAACATAGCACTCGTAATTGTTGGAGCTCCATACCAGACCGGACTCCTCCCTGGCTCCATTCACACGCCGCGTACGCTCTGAGATCCTGCGTTGTCTCCGCCCTCTACATTGCCGGTTTTTTTATCTGGTGCGTTCTATTTGTTCTTTGCTCCGAGTTGTGAAAATTGGAATTTAGTTCTTTAGATGCTGGTCGGTTACTTCGATCCTCTATGAGGAATTTCAGCGCATATGTTTTTTAAAATCACTTTAAACAGAGGCTAGATTGTTATATGTCTGCTCCAATTCGCATTCCATTTGTCAATTTATAGATCTTTTGATTGCGATTAATGTCAAATAAATGGATCGTAATTTAATGGATCACGTGTAAAGTGTCTAAGATCTGTGATTATTTACTGTTTAGAAGGACTCGGATTACCTTTGAATTACAATTTTCCATTGTGGTTAGTTGGGGATCCCCATGGAAAATTGGGGTAAATGATTGGGAGAGGAGTTTTGTATGAAAAAAGCTTACATATAATGAAATATGATTTACATTTAATCGCTTTAAGCTGTTTACTGTCTAATACCTCTTAGTTCTGTTGTTTCCCTTGTTTATTACCTCCAGTCATTCCAAATGGCCAACAGAGTTCAAATTCCTACCAACAATTCAGCGCTCATTGCCATGATTGCAGATGAGGTAAGAGTGTGGCGACGTTGTATATGCTTTCTTGACTGCTGAACAAAAAATACTGCATGTTTTTAATGCATCCTTTTAGATTTTCCTTGGCACATAAAATTTCAGTTTGTGAAGGTTGAAATAAGTATTGAGGTAATTCACTTTGATAAATATGACTCACGACTTCTACTTTAAGTTTTAACTTGAAAAATAGATTCATGAAATATGACTATTGAGTATTTCATGCAATATAAAAGTTGTCTTCTGTCTTGTGAACTTGTTGTCTAAAAGAATTAAAGTGGATGATATTATAATTAGGATCCAGCAATGTTGATTACAGAAAACAAATTTCTGTGGAGATTATCGCTATGCAATCATCTTGGCTAGTATGTTTATGAGGCTGCTGCAATGCAAGAGAAAGTTGTATTATTTTTGGAGATCTTTTTTGTTATCAGCTAGTGATTAAGCACCACTGCATGCAGATTATTAAGAATATATTATATTCTATGTGTTCCCGATATAGAACAATAAAAAGACTTAAGATTTTGGAGGTTTAGGCTTAAGAATTTTTTTATGGTTCAGACTTGGGTTATAAAACAGTAGAATGAGTCAATAGCTTCTGGAGGATATACGAAGGCAACGGTTGTAAGCCAATATCCGTTCATCTGTTCCGGAGTCAAGTTTATCAGAAATTTAGATGCGCTGCAAGAAGCTAATTTGGCTGTTTATAATTTGACAGTTCCTTGAGTATATTCAAGCAAGAATGACCAGGATTTTGGAAAAGAAAATGGAGAATTGAGATTGTTATTCTCATCCAAATAATTAAAAACTGAAAAAAAAGAAAAGATTTAGAAATTGTGGGGATAAAAGAAATTAACCCAGGTGTTACACTTCAGGCCTTGGGCATCAAGCATTTGGTTGATTGTATAACACTCTGATGCAAGAAGAGAGAGTTATTTGCTGCCCTAGTAATATAAGATGATCACTTATTTATAATGTTATTGTTGAGTGCACAATTAAATAGTAGTGTCAGACTTATTAAAGCTTCATAGCAATATCCTAATCGTCAGGTTCAAATGCACATATCCAGCCTCTAACTAACATAATGTAACCCTAAAAATAGAGAAAAACATGAATGAAACACCTATAGAGTACAAACCGAAAACCCATACATTGACATACTTGACTTTACAACCTAAACAAGAAAGTGCTGAAATATGCCTATTGCTTAAAAACTATTATAATTAAAAATAGACAGCTATTCACTACGAAAACCCCCAGTCAAATTGAAACTAATTATGGAGATATTTTATTCTTTAAGATTATGTTTTAATGTTCCAAAGCTGACTGTACCAATTCCCCATTCTGTTATAGTTGTAATTTTTTTGTAATCGGTATTATGATTGAAATGATTAAAACACACTGAATGTTTACAATGACTACTTTATTTTACACAGGACACCGTAGTTGGATTTCTGTTGGCTGGAGTGGGAAATGTTGACATCCGTAGGAAGACAAATTACCTCATTGTGGATGCAAGTATGTCATTGAACTATGTTTTTTACTCACTATTCTTGTGTGTATGATTGGTATCAAGTCCCTAAACTACAATTTTTTTCATGTTAAATTGTATATTGGAAACGAAGTGATTCCGTACCTATTTTAACTAACATCCAAATTGTGATATCCTATCAAAAACTATACCTATGTAACTATGTTCCTGTTCTATTGATGACATCATAAATAAAAATAGAGATGCACACGTCCTAAATAGGATAGGTGAAGAAGAGGTGTTTGGTTTGACAAGGATATTTTTTTTTCCCCTGTTTTCACTAATAATTACAAAAATGCTACCTTGTTTTTACTTTGTTTCTTGTTCATAAAGATTTGTACAGGTTGTTTTCACCTTTCCTATATATCTTTGGAAACAAAGTAACATTTTCATAATTATTAGCCAAAATAGGAAATTGATTCAGAACAGTTTCTTAAAAAAAATTAAACAAGCACAAGGTTTCTATATGAAAGTTTTGGGTTGCTACAGATTTACACGATAACTTCTTTTTTTTGTGTCAATAGTGTCTCGTTCTGAAGTATTTTTTATCAGTTTGAAATCAAGTTGATTTTACTGTATGTTCTTGTTTTATCTTGACTTTGATTTTCAGAAACGACTGTCAAACAAATTGAGGATGCATTCAAAGAATTTACAACAAGGGAGGATATTGCAATTGTGCTGATTAGCCAATATGTAAGTCATATTTCATGTTTACAATAAATGAGCTAGGCTGTTGAAATCAACTTAATTAACACTATCGGCAGATTGTTTTTCTACTTCATATGGCCTGAAACATGAACTGATTATTTCTGTAAGCCCATTTACTTACTGTTAGCTGTAGTTTAACACATGTTCTGCCTCGTAATCAAAGTTATTGTTGCTAGAATTAAGAAATTCATATCCACTACATCAGTTTCCAAAACTTATATGAGGTTAGAACAAATATCTCAATGAATGATGGCATTCAGTACATGAGTTTTACTGGTCTGACCGAGGGGCATTGTATTACTCCCAGGTTTAGTAGCTACCTTTTTTCAGATGTAGGTTTTAAATGTTGACCAGTTATTTGATTTCTCACATTTGGTTCAATTATTATCTTAATTTTTTTTTTCTCTCTTTCAGCCATCATGTTATCCTGCCTGAGATTCATAAAGTATTTGTTTTACTTTATTCATTTGTTCGGCATCTTCGTTGACATTTGACTTTTTACTTGTTTTGTAAGCTTGGGTTACGACCCTGCTACACCCAACTCCTGGTGTATGTGCATGTTTTCCAAAAGCTCAAAGATCTTAGACTTTCTTTGGTTGTGCAGGTTGCAAATATGATAAGGTTTTTGGTTGATAGTTATAACAACCCTGTTCCTGCAATTCTTGAAATCCCTTCTAAAGACCATCCTTATGATCCGGCAAATGATTCAGTTCTGTCACGAGTGAAGTATCTCTTTAATACCGAATCGGTTGCATCTGACAGACGCTGAACTCATGCTACATTGTTGCAGCTTTTTCGGTGCTTATTGTTTTTCTTTGTACATCATGGTTAAATAATCTTTTCTTGAAATTCAGAGTTTAATGTAGCCTAAATAAGTGGTGCTGGGGATAGTTTAAAATTCCTTTGAAAACTTCAAGATGGGTGATTATTTTATGGTGTCATGTCAGATTCAGATTAGCTTGAAATATGCATTTATGTATCATCTCTCACCGACTAATTTCCACCGTGTGATTGAAGTTTGCATGTTGTCACGTAGGGAATACTGTTTTCTTTTGCAGTGTTTTCATCCTTGGCGATCTCATTCTCAGTCAAACGCATACGTCGTCACAAATTTATTAGTGATGTCGTGGTGGGATAAGTGGGAAAATTAACACTGATTCTAATAAATATTTTAGTTATTGCCTTTTTTATATTTTTAAAATGCAAGGCAATTTATGTTTGTTTTAAATCATAATATTCGTATTTAAAATAATTTATGATATCTGTTTTAATCATATTTTAGATTTTATCCCGTTTCTGATTATTTGAGAAGTTGGAAAAAGTAATGAAAATCTTAGTTTTGTTTGGTGAAGGGAAATAGGATAGAGAGATCGGTGAGAAAAAAAAAAATTATTATTATGCTTTTTATTCAAAAAGATAACAAAGACAAACGAAATTAAAGGTCGAGTTACAAATCTCATATTATCACCCAGAAACAATTATCAAAGTTACAAAGACAAAGATTTTTTACTTTCAATCAATCATCCGATGAAGAAATACATGTTTTGGTTCGAGTTAATTAGATTACTTTATATACAACATATATCGTAAAAAGGATAAACAACATTTTGTATTGTAATTGATTTACATCAATTAAATGATAGAACAATTCTGTACTAATATCATTAAAATTTTATATATAATAATTAATGATAGGAAATTGGGTTTGTAAATCACATATGTGAAACCTGATTCAATTTGTATTTAGTTAGTTTAATTTGGACTTTCCTTTGTAATTCAATTTTACATTAGGAGGTTTATTGGGTGTACATTTAGGCCAATAGAGGTCTTTGATCCAAAAACATTAAAGTTGACTGATAGTATAATTTAGTTTAAGGTGTTAAAAGTCCGAGTTGTAAAAAATTTTAAATTTTTTTATAGTGGATTAAAGTGAACCCATCTACTTATTTGAAGTTAGTAATGAGTTCACCCATTTTTTAGATGTTTAATATTTTTTTTATCCATGTATTCATGTAAATCGATAAAAAAAATATAGTTAATCAACCTACCTAACTCACTTGTATTAATAAGCCAATCCATCTATTTTAATAATTTTAGAAAATAATTAAAAAAAGACACATATATATAAGTGAGTTAATCTATTATTCCGTGGGGAATTGAATCGGATTGTAAAAATTTTGTTTAGAAAAAATGAATCAGAACTAACTCATTTTTAAGTAACCAGTGATAAACGTCAATACCCCTAATTTAGTTACTTAGAAATTATTCAAGACATCTTAATTCATTTACAAAACAATAAAACCCCACGAAATGAGTTTATTTGTGTTTTAGTGTTAATTTTACAAACTCTTTTGAAAGTATTGGCTTTTATAAAAATTTTAACAAAGTCAAAAGTTTGGCTTAGAGGAAATATAATGAAAATATTTCAATAATAATTTTTATAAGATAGTGTTAATGATAAAGTTTTTTATTGAGGTTAAAATAAACAATCAAAATTATAAAGATAGAGAAAGAAGATAAATATTTTTATATTGGTTCATCTCTCATCTCTTAACAAATACGATAAAATATCAACTAACAACAAATATTCTTTTTACTAGTTTTCTTAATATATCCACACAAGTATTTTTGAACAAACTTATTTAAGCTTTACAACATAATTACTCTTTTGCAACATAAGTCATTTAGTATATAAAAGAGGTGCAAAAAGAACAAGGGTAGTATTTACAATATTGAGGATTTTTCTAAAGTTAGCTCTTACATCTTAAAAGACAAATACAAGGATTTAGTTTACTAGGAATAAATAAATCTCTAAATATATATGGAATAGTATAGAATTAAAAAGAAAGACATAAAATGATAAAAGACAAAAAGTGTTCTAAAAAGATGTTGTTTTGCAAATATAATAACAACTTATCTTTTATTTTTGTTATTCTTATTTATACTAATTTTTAAAAAGTCGTCATTGTCTCAATAACTAAGTCTTTTGATAATAGTCATTATAGATTAACTCTTTATTTTTCTTTTTATGTTTTCGACATCTCAGGTTGAGTGTGCTTGAGAAACTTCAATAGTCATGCAAAACATATTCGACTTTCAAGTTGTCAAAATAAACAATTCAGTTCAACCTAACCTAACCTTACGGGTCAAGTAAAAAAATTGATGATCCAGCCTAACCTATATTGTAAAATGAACCATAGTTTTTAGCTTGACCTAATCCTATGTTAGGTCAACTGGGTAATAAGCTAATTTTAGTCCGATTAAAAATATAAAAATTATTTAAATAAAAATAAATAATAAAAAATGTATTTTTAAAATTTATATTATATTAATAAAATTAGTTTTTATTTAATGATTTAATATAAATTATAAGAGAAGATTCATTCGATCCCAAAATAAGAGTTAAAAATTTACTCTTCAATATCGTTATTTTTATAATAATTTAGTGATCTAAAATAGTAATTAATATTAACTATTATATCTTAGAATAAGTGATTATTATAGACTTACTCTAATATTTATTCTTAGAATAAATTAACCCCTTATCAAATTAATTTAGAATATATATATATATATATATATTAATAAAATAATTTTATTTTAATTTTTATTTAAAAAATAATTATTAATCTTTAAAATGGGTCAATACGGATTAGTCTAACCTAAACCTATATAGGTCATAGTATAAACGGATTAGATCAAAATATGTCTTATTTAGTTTATGTCATAATTGTTTTTGTCTAACTTAACCTATCGGACTAAGTTTATTTTGATATCTCTATTTAGCCTAACGAAGATAATAAATATTAAATACCTTTCATTTTTTTTTATTTTTGAATCCGTGGTAGCTCATGCTACTTCTCCATTTAAAAGTGTTTTGCTTCTTTCTTAATTTCGTGACTTTGTTGCTATAGGAAAAAGTAGGTAGATATTGTTCTCACAACAAACATTTTACAGATTTCATCTATTTAGAATGCATACACTTCGGAAATGTATTTCAAACTTCAACTTTAGATGCAAATATTCTTATTGATATTATTTGTCTGTTTTTTTTCAGACATTTAGTAAAAAAAAAAAATTTAATTACTATTTTTTTTTATCAACCTTAACTATTCCAACCTTTTAACTTATTTAAAAATCTGTTAAGGTGATAGACAAAAATAAGGTGATATAACTATTAAAAATCTTTTTTAGGTAAAATATTTTTTTAATCATTATAAAATGTGTTATTCATTAAATTAGTCGTAATAAAATTTCATATTATTTTAATCCTTGTAAAATTTAAATACAGTTCTTTGGTCCAATATTTTAAACTTTGTTAAAAATGGTGATAAGATGATGAACATAGAGTGCCATTATCTCTTTATTGCACCACTACACAAACTCAACATTTTTGCTTTCATGTCCGAAAACTAGTCAAACCCTTAGCAAAAAATTGAATCATATTATGAATCATTATTCATTGTATACAGAGTCCTCTATGAACTTTATTAGTTTTTATTATTATTTATATAATTTAAATATTATAACCTTTAAGTTATTCTTTAAATTATATTTTGTACCTGTAATAAATAAGATATTTCATTTAGTGAAATACAGGCTTTCTTTCTTGTTTCTATATACGTCGATCTTATTTCTTAGTATTATGTTTCTTGAGATCTTATTTTTATGTTGTACGATGATTTTAGCATGATGAGCTAACTAATTATCCTTCTATTTTTATATATTATATTGTTATATCTTTTACTATATATAACGTGGTTATTATTAATTTAATAATTTAAATTTTATATGATATTCATGATCATGTCAAATTTTCTATTATTTGAAATTGGTAAATAAAATAAGCTCACGAGACTCATAAGATTTGTTCTGTTTTATTTTAAAAAGTGAATGTCAAAAATATTTTATTATTATGTTTTATTCCAAGAAATAGCCGTAATTCATTCCCAAAAGTAAATGTGAAAAATATTTTATTATTATGTTTCATTCCTAAAAGTGATTTTAAAATCATTTTATTCATATCTTTTGTAGTTATGATTATAATTGTGGAGTGTGACCTTGAAGTGTTAACTATCATGATTATAAAGAAATTTTTGTGAAAGCATCAACAGAAGAAAATAAAATGATAAAAAAAGAATGGAAGAGTAAAAAAAGATAAATTATGTTGTGGTGACGTATCTTATTTATTGTACACCAAAAACATCTTGTTGATATATTCATAAGAGAATCACAGAGAAAAAATTGCTTATGAGATGATGATTTTAATTATAATCATATGAATTTTATTTATGAGTACGATTCTAATTATAGTCAAATTGATGATATTCATAATAATATTTTTTATATATTATATTTTAGTAGATGGAACAATTGATCACATCATTGGTGACAAAAACATTAAAAAATATTTAATTTTATTAAAAATAATATTTTATATATTTGTACCTAAAATAATATCTCATGTTCTTAACTCTTTAATTTTAATATTATTGATTTAGTTGTTTAAGATTATTTGAATTCAAAATATTTTAAATATGTTTTAATCAAATTTAACTCTGGTAATCAAATATTAATAATTTTTTTAATTATTTTTATTTTCTATTTTACTTTAATTATATATGGTTTATTATTGGAATATATTTTTATATTTAAAATTATTTTTGACAATGATTTATTCCGGATACTTGATTATATCGAATCAGTGTGTTATGTTTAGTAAGACTTATTTTTTTATTATTCTAAAATATTTTATTATAATATATATAT